ACCCAAATGCAGACATTGAAGCTGAAGTTGTTTCTTGAAGATTTAATAACAAAAATGGTGACATAAGTAAAATCTAAAAACATAAATCCACAAAAACCCAAAACTACTGAAAACCATAAATTTTCACAACAAGGGGGCAAAGAAATTATGGCAAACCACCAAAGAGTTACTGAGCAGGAGGTGAATATATGGGAGAAAGAAACAAAGACCAGGCTACAGTAATTAGCAGATTGGGAGCAGGTGTGAAGAAAGGCAAGAAGGGAGCTAAGGAAAAGGAGACTGATACAAGAAGGCAAACAAGAAATATCTAAGAACTCAAATACAATCTAAAATAACTAGAACACAAAATGGAAATAAGACCAATGAAAACTCAGAGATAAAACTTGAACAGAACCAAAAACATGACAGTTTTGTTACCAACTGTTCTGCATCCTTTGAGGCAAAAACTTAATTTTACTTCTGTGCTCAAAGGGTAGTTCAGGTCTTTAGACATGCCATTGTGTAAAACGTTCATCTGTAACTGAGATATATCAATTTCCCTACGGCCACTGAGTCTCTTAAACCTAAAGATGCTTTGCTAACTTTACTAGGCGCAAACAGTACTCTCTAAGAGGCAAGATTTCCTGAAAAGTAGCCAATCGCAGGTAGTTCACTTTCTCTGTTTAGTTCCGTCCTTAAAGTGAGAAAAGAACATGAGTGGGGGTGAATCTAGAAGAGCATAAAAAGCAAGAGAGCAGAAAAGGAGCGTGGAGTCATGGTTGGGTGTATTGGGGCATCATGTTATTAAACCTGTGTGCATAGTGTTTAAAATGCACATGGAGGGCAGTTCACATGGATGTGTTTTAAATAAAACTGCTTGTATCAGTATTTATCAGAGGCGTGCACAGACATTTTGGGGGGCAGGTGCTCAGGAGGGGGGGGGCACTTTTTAGCGCACGTGTAACACTTAATTATAAAAAAAAATAAACGCATGTTGAATGAAATTTGACTTTTATTTGTAACATTCTCTAAACGTGAGTTTTCAATGGAAAAAAGTCACATCACCAACAGAACAGACTAAAGCATACTTCTTTCATCTGGCTCATCTCCCTGTTTTCCCTCACCCATCTGTTCTCCCTCATCCTGGTCTTTTTCTGTCTCTGTGTCTTCCCTGAACTCTTCCTCATCTCCTGTCCTGTTATATGTTGATGGTATAGAGCTTCCCTGCTGTGACTGGCTACAATATATTAATAATAACCATCATGACAATAATAATAATAATAATAATAATAATAATAATAATAATAATAATAATAATAAGAATAATAATAATAATAATAATAATAATAATAATAATAATAGATTTAACAAATATGCCACATTAGTTTAAATAATGGGCTATTAGGGCAACATGACTGGAAGTCTTGTCACGTAGATATGACTTATGGTAGCCTACAAAATAATAGCTATTTTAATACCTGCTGCACAAACCACTTAAAAATAAAATGTGAACAGCTTTTAAGATTTTTCAATATGATTAACCCTCCTTTCTTGGCATTGTGCTGCAATTACTAAATCAATATACAATTAAGACAATAAAGAGACCAAAATGTGTTAATTTATGTTGCCTAACAAAACCTATACAACATAAAACGTTTGTCTTAACACATAGATTTGTACAGAAGAGGATTAGGGCCACTGAAAAAAAAAAAAGTTAACTGATTTTCAAATTTTATTTCAGTTTAACACGGGAAAAAAGTCAGAATTCTGACTTTTTTATTGTCAGAATTCTGAGATTAAAGTCAGAATACTGAGCAAAAAGTCAGAATTCTCAGCAAAAAGTCAGAATTATGAGAAAAAAGTTAGAATTATGAGATTAAAGTCAGCATTCTGACTTTTTTCCCATACTAAACTGAAATAAAATTTAAAAATCAGTTAACTTTTTTTTTTTTTTCAGTGGCCCTAATCCTCTTCCGTAGATTTGCAATTGCAAACTCTACCAAAATTATTTGTAGCCTATGTGGTCGTCCTCACGTTATCTGTCATTGACTTGGGCTACTGTGTAAAACTTTCAGAATCAGAATCAGGTTTATTGCCATTGTTAGTGAAGGAGTTCACAAACTAGGAATTTTTTATGGTACAATCGTGCAACATGAAACATATAATATGGAATAGGTAAATAAAATTATAAAAATATCTAAAAACTCTGGGTATACGTCATGCAATAAAATAGACTAATGTATACACTTAAGATAAAAAATATGGATACAAAATATAAAAAGTAAAATAGCATCTTACAAGGAGACAACTAGTTTATCTGGTGACCAGTCGGCAAAATGCTTGTTTGGTGCTGCTGAATGAGACATTTTAATGCACAACAAAATGATTCTGCTTGATCTTTATATTACCTGGCTAATAGGGCACGGGAGAAGCAGCCTGTCAGCGACCGTTCCTGCTATCTGAAAACTGCTATGATGCTGCGCATCTGGCATGCCCTGCGGGCGACCGAGCGAGTTCACGTGACAAAGGAAGAGAGAGAGGCTGGTCAGGTGTGCGCAAGTAGGTCGGTCATTTCGGGGCATTGTTTCAGTCGTTTTTAATGGCTCAGGTTTTCAAAAGATCATTTCAAAACCGACCTCAGTAAAATCTTAATAATATTAATAATAATAATAAAAAAAAAACGAGTTTCAAAAGGGCATTTTCTTTGATAGAGGGCAAACTTCCTAGTGCTTTAGCACCACCTAGTGTCTATGTGTGCACGCCCCTGGTATTTATTACTCGTGTACTTTTGGTAGCATTCTCACTTCATATCCTCTCCTCTGCATTCTGATGCATAAACTTTTACAGCAATATAGTGAAATCTACACAAAATGAGAACCTAAACCTTGTAAAGAAGAGAGGAAAATGTATTCAGATGTCTAGTAAATCTAACGTAAGATATATGGACTGTCTATCTCTTACACTATTGTAGATAAACCTGAATCCTTGTGGTATCTTTGAGCTCATGCTTTATGATTGTTGTTATTCCTTAGTAACTGAAACATATAAATTAAGCTTAATGCCATATCTGAAATCTAAAATTAAAAAGTTTTTATTTATTTATTCATCCTTTGTTCTCTTTGCTTTCCGTTTTAAGTAAACCTTCTCTTCTAATTATTTCAAACCACTGGCAGAACTACAGGCTGTTCAACGGTGTGGAACAAGATTTGTTTATCTGGAAGTCTAGTGGAAGTAGTCACTGTTGCATGGAAAGTATTACTTGTATTTTGAACCCTTTTAGATGCACCGGAACGCTCATTATTCCCACTTTTTAAATATGATATGATAACTATAAAATTAGAAACATGAAACAATAAATATCCTTTTGGATAACTCATTGTAAAAACATACAGGAGTAACAGAAGTCAGATTGATAAATCCTTTGTGAGATTATTTATTTTATGAAAATGGAATTTTTTTTCCCTATCAAAGGCAAAGAAACTTTTTTGTGGATAATTAGATTGCCCTCTATAGGAGATTTGCTGTAACAGCAAGTGAAGACCCCCAAAATGTCCAGTCATCCCTGATGTTAAATCACCTGCCGCCACCTTTGTTTATGTTCTGCATGGATATCATGGATATCTCAAGCATCTGTGGATGTAAGTAAAAGACAAGTCTGACTGCAATGTTTGGTCTGATCTGTCTTATTAGGGAACTTCCCCATGCATGTATTTCTTTTTATCATGTATCCAAACAAGGGGCTGAGTCATAACTACTCTCTATGAAGTGTATGCGTTTATGTCAGCGTTTTTACTCCGCTAATGTAGGATTTCACTCCACTGTAATTGTTTTCTTTTTTTACATTGTGTCAGTTGGAAGCGCAGTTTATTTCACAATGAATGAATCACAGAAATATTCCATTCCAATCAGGTTCTCCTTAGTTTTAGCTGTTTTTTTCCTAATCTTTAGACAGCATATCAACATTGTGAGTACAAATAAAAGTGCCAGTTGAATTAATTTCTTTTTCAGCATCTGATTAAAAAAACATTTGAAGAAACAACACAATTGCCGTCCAATGTATCTAAAATACATTTTAATCTTGCTGAAATTTTGTTTTCACAATATTGTTTACAATATGAATCCATTAACGTTCTCCTCATCCTCACTCGGGTCTTCTATGTCATCTGGAAACAAAGCTGTACAATCATGTTCATGTAAATTGTTCTACATCAAGGCACAAGACAACAGGCGTTGTGTGTGGAGTGATAGGGGAGGGTTTCCCTCTGGCAAACATGGGAAAGCAGCTTGGGGGAGGGAGGGGGGTGATGAGAGATTAATTCAGCGGGAGTCAGCTCTAGAAATGTGCTCTAACGAGGTAAAAGGCGGGACAAAAAAGAAAGTGATAACCACTGCTGTTTTCATTTTATTTTCCAATAATAGTCATGTATAAAAAAGAGCAATCATTGGGATTTTTTTTTTTTACTTTCTGAAGGAGTTCATTTGTTCATGTACATAAAGTAAAGTGCTTTTTTTCAATTCTTTTTTTCTGTTATTTGCCAAAAGCAAAAAAATAAATAAATAAATACGGAAAAGAAAAAGGTTTCAGTAACAGGATAGATGATTGGGACAAAATGTCCTTTCTTTTCCAGTAAGAATGTGAAAGAGAAGGTAAAGGGCCAGTTCAATATTTCTCTGTGTCGTTTTGCTTGTTGATTTTTGTTCACAGGTTGTTTTCTTTGTTTTTCTCTTCAGGTTTCTGCCTCTGGAAGACAGACAAAAAGAGAGACATTTCAGCACATTTAAATGGCAGCACTTATTAACTTTTAGCAAATTTCTATGGTTTTTATTTGCATTCACCGTTATTCTGAAGACTTCACATCTGGATGCTTCTCCTTCGCCTGCCGAAGGCCTTGGCGCCAACGTTGGTGGGGACAAAGTTGCTGTTGCCCATTCCCCCCGATCGGCTGAGGAAGTCCGCCAGGCGGTGGGTCACGCACGTGGCCGTGTTGCAGGCTCGCTTCTGTGCTGTAACGCTGCTTCAGGACAGGAAAAGGCGGTTAAGGTTAAGGCATGTTACATTTATATAGATTAACACCAAAAAAACATGGACACAGCTAATTACAACCAAGCACAACACACATTTCCTTACCTCTAAACTTCCTGACGTCTTCTTTAACAGATCTCAAGGCACCTTAATGTATTTTATATTTTAATAATTTTGTTCATTGTGTGTGCACAAGGCTTTAAAAACGAAATGAGTTACGTCTTCCTGGTAGAAAAATACGTTTATTGAACAACAAACATGGTGTCGCATGAGTGGATAATTTATTAATGGTTACATTAAGTGATCTCTCTTTCAGATTTCATCAAATACCACTACACAAAGACGATTTTTCTGATATCTTAAATCACAGCTGTGTAAATTAAGTCTGATTGTCTGAGATAAGATCAACAATTTATTCTCTGCCAAAAAAACGGAGTAGAAAACAGGTTGGGGGAAAAAAATGCAGGAAAGGTACAAAAAGAAAAAGTCAAGTTCTTTTCATGTCAAAGTTAGCATGCACTTGCCAGAATGAAAAAAATGCAAGGAGAAAACGGGATACATAGAGGAAGATAGGGAGGATAAATTAATAGAGAGAAGAGAGGGTAAGAAGAGGGGTTTAGACGCCGTCAAACGACTCGCCGTAGCCTGCATAGCTGTCCCTCTCAGGAGCACTGCGCTTCTTGCCGGGTGTTCCTGCTCCCACGTTCGTGCGGGGGAACGTCTGCAACTTGTGCAGCTCTTGAGACAGTTTGCCCAGGACACAAGTGCTGAGGTTGGAACAGCGCTTGGTTAGGGGTCTGTCCATGCTGTTGGGGAGGGGACACACAAACAAGACATGCAGAGAAAAAAAGGACTCATAGATGAGGGAAAAACATGCAGGCAATACATTCTTCATCATTTGGCTTTCTTTTAGCTCTCATCTGACATGCGTTTCTATCTCATGCCATCACAACTGAATAAAAGTGGGATAAAAATCATCTCATATTTTTTAAAGGATCATGCCACCAGCTCCCCCTTTTAAACATTCAAAGAACTCGTCATCCATCCCGTCATGCACCAAACATAACTCCCCCCGCCATATTCCCGTATCTCTTACACCCACAAAAAAGAAACATTCGCTTCCAACAGTCATGCAGCTTACTGTAACTGACATCATGCACACTTTTCTGGGTTCGGATCAGCAAAGATATCCTTTTCACATGCCCAGCAGGCAGTGTTAGCCCCAATAGCACAAAGTCAAAAACAGGCTTGTTTCATGCAGGGACAGGTTAATGACAGAGAATACTGATTTTTATTGTTTAATTTTTTGTTGTGAAAATTTTTTTATTTTGTTTTCATTTCTGTGGTTCTGTTAATAGTACATACCTTGCTATGACTGACTGATGATGCATCAGCACTAGTGTTGAAATGAGACCACAGAGTGAAACAAGGGCAAATCTTGGACGGAAGCCCAAAAGAAAAAAAATCTGACTATTTTACATTTCTGATAAAAGTCAGCAAGTTCAGGAACTATCATACTGTCTGAAACACCTTTAATCTAATTTGCTCAGTTTCATAAAATGTGAAATGTTCTGCACTCCCATTTGAAGAACAAATCTGCTCCCAAACTGCATGGGAACCTGACTCGCCATACGTTTGATTAAGTGTCAAATTAGGGCACAGAAAACAAGTAAAATAAACTTAACTGATACAAAACAATTCCGTTACAAGTTGAGTTGCTTCTGCATGCTTCGCGTTAATAACTCATAGACAGATGTACCTGTTTCCCTCAGTCGCCTGCTGTTCCAGCTCCTCTGCCGTCATCTGCACAAACTCCTTGACGATGGCGTTCAGTAACCTTCGAGCCTCGTAGTCCGTGAGCGTGACTCGGTCTGACATGGAGTCTAATCCTGGTCTGAGGTGAGAAGGTGATCAGGGTTGGGGGGGGTTAGAGGACAACAAAAGGACAGGCGGTTAGTGTTCATGTAAATCCCTAGCAGAAGTCATTGCCTATAGAGATTATGCTGGTGGGGGTGCTGGTAAAGCTGGAGGAGAGATGGAAAAGGGAGGCAGGAGACGTCAGCACCTCAGAGTGTATTGACGTCTGAGTTGGAGGGCCAGTGGCCAGCATGGGGGTAAAGGGGGGGTGGGGGTGATGAAACAATCTGCGGAAAGTGCCCCGTTTGAGAAAGGGGCTGATTTCCAACAAGCTTTGGATTTATTACGAAATCGATAGCTTCATAGGATCGCTTGGGGTAGGGGCTGAAGTAGAGCTTAATATGGATGTATAGGTTTCCTTTATCTCCCTATGGAGTAAATTACAACTCTTATTTTAGCTTTCTATCAGTTCAACATAAACAATATAGCATAAGTAGTGAAAACTTCACATATTTTCTTTACTACTTAAATGCTTAAATTCTAGCAGTTTTTTTTTAGCATAGGTGCAAGGTATATTTTAGAATCAATACATTCCTTAGATTAAATAAAGGACATTTTATTCTATGGATTTTAGTTATAAGAAACAGAAAATAAAAGTAGGATTTGTTGCTAAGGTAAAAACTGTCAGATTGTATTCTTAGTTAAAGAGGTATAAAATATATTCAGTAATAAAACATAGTATACTGTTTATATAGATCTACTTATAGTAACTTTTACTAATTGTATTAATTCAGCTGCAGCAAAAGTCAGAAAAAGGAAACTTTAAACACAAAGCCAATTATTTCTTTTTATGTTAAGAGGTTTGCTCAGGAAATTTACTTGCAAATGCATGACAGCTGTCAGAATGTAATGTAGAACTGGAAGCCATGTCTCACCTTGCAGGGGCGGCTTGTGAGCAGTACATCTGACAGATGACCAGGGCGTAGGCAATAAGGAAAGCAGAGATCTTCAACATAACCATGGTCCCCTGAAACAGGAAGGAAGAGACCCCCAAATCCCACCCTCTGTCAGCTTCTTGTGCACTGATGGGTCTACAAGGCAACATGTGCAAGAAATACACTTGGTCGCGGAGCCCACCTTTGAGTTCCTACATGATAAAAAAGTTCTATCTACTTATCCTTGCACACATCATGACCCCTTCTTCTCTTTTTCACCGAAACACTCTGTGCCGAAATATCCAGCAGCGAGCACAGGACATGTAGTTCTCTTGTGTGATACGCAGCAAGGACGGCAGCATGACATGCCTGCAGGTAGCTGTGTGTGCATCAATGTGTGTTTGTGTGTTTGACAGAAAGAAGGTAGGCAAGGGTCCCAGACTCTGTAATATACGTAGCATTTGCTGGAAGAGGAGGGGGTGATAAGAGAGAGAGGGGATGGGAGGGGGGTACTCCAAGCTTGCCAACTCCCTTATGAACCAGTGCATTAGTGTAATGAGCTTCCACCACTCTCTAACAAACACACACATTTTGTCTGAAACACCCACATACTCTAAGCTGGCTGCTTCTTCCCATTTTCCTCCTCAGGATGTCGCTTTCCCTTAGTGATTTATTTTTTCACTTTTCTCAGGAGATTTTCTTCCCAATCATTTCTATCTTTCCCTTCCTCATATTTTTCCTTCTTTTTTTTTTACACAATTCACCAAGTCTATATTTGCTCAAGCAGAACACAGGACCTTTCCAACATGTTTTACATTTACACTCACATCAACCTAATCCAATCTCTGTCTTCCTTCTAATCTGCTCCCCAAAGACCAAGAGTCAAACACAGATCCAACCCACTGCTGAAGAGAATAATGGAAGTCAACACTTACCTTCAACGGTAATCACCCAGCAGTAAAAATAAATATATATGTATATATAAATATCTCTCTGGATCTCGAAACACAGAAGTTGACTTTCTCTCAACTTGCAGACCAACTCTTGACTCTGTTGCATCAAGCGCCAACCACCAGCCTATATATCCCACCACTCGGATTTGTGCATCGACTGTGTAGGTGTTTAATTATTTGCCAGCAGCCAATCGTGTGGCCCCGATGCTACGGCGAGCCAATGGGAAGCCTTCCCTGTTTTGACTTGGCTCGCTACTGAGAGATATGGCTTTTGTGCTGACGTCATTGCTCAGTCACTAAGTGCTCCATTCACAAAATTCACCAGTCATTTGGACCATTTGCCATGCCCGGTTTGCATTGATGTCATTAATTAAATAAAAGGCAGAGCAAACTCGTGTCTCTGCGGAAGCAACGGCAGCTATAAATATTTGAAAAAGTTTCCAAAAAATCTTCGGCTTCATGCTATATGTCAAAGTCCTAAATCAATAAGTGCCCGCAAAAAAAACTAAACAAAAAAAAACACATCTATAAGTATAACTTCCCTCCTGAATAAGCATTTGCAGGCGGGGCCATCTGCTGGGGAGGGATGTATACTACAAAGTGACGCACTTTTGGACTCCTGTACTTCATTCATAATGCTGCCTGCATGGCTCCAACTTCCATGCAGACTTCATGTATTGAAGTTAAATCATCAACCAGCAGCTTGTATGATCTGAGGCAACACATTGTTTCTTGATAGTATGAATAATGATTACCTTCTGACATTTTTGTGCCATTTCTCAGCGGGCCCTGTGTATACCTTCTTTTCAGTAAAGGGAAAAGTAAAGTGTGGCTATCTCCCGTCTCTCCAGAGTAAAGCCTCGAACCACATTAAAGTAATAAAGTGATACCACAGTCGGTCCAGTAATGACCCAAGCTGCTCAGGCCTCCTCCCACACAGTGAGCAAACGACCAATCGATGACAGCCTGCGACAAGAGCCGTTTCTCAAAAGCAATTACACAAGCGTTTGCCCTGCACAATTGTCTCAATGCCATGCCTTTTCATTAGTGGGTAGGGCAGTGTGTGCATGTGTGTGTTTATTTCTTAGCCCTCTCATATGAGCACGCATGTACGGAAAATCTGTGTATCTTTCTATGTCTTCTTAATGCTGCTGCATTGCTGACAAATTGGATAGGCGACCAGTAGGTACGTGCGTCTGTGTGTGTGTGTGTGTGTGTAAGCCTATATGTCAGAGTAAACGAAGGGGAGGGGTTGCCTCTCCATGTCTGCGTCATAGAGGAACCCCATTATACAGGATGAGCCTTTTAGTGCTATTGAGCCACATGGTTCAGCCTTGTCAGCTGCTAAATCACTGCTGAATAGGCAGCTGCCGGACCTCAAGCCATGTTTTTAGATGGGCTTTATGCATATCTAGAAGTAGGAGCACCTTAAGTAAGAAGTAGATAAAAAAAAAGAAAACTATTTTGGAAATAAAAAAAGAAAAACTGTGCAACTTTGCATTCAAACCCTCCCCCAAAAAACTAAAGTCTGGGAACCACATTTGGCGGTGATTCCAGCTGCAAGACCTTTCGAGTCTCTTCCACCTATGAAGAACCAAAAGTTTTTGTTGTAATTTAGCTCTTCATAAAGGACTGCTTGTTTTGTGGAAGAAAACACTGTAGTGGGTCTCATATCTAACGAGGATGAGACCCACTACAGAAATCTGACACACTGGTGCTTCATGAAATAGCTTTAATCTGAACACCAGGAAGACTAAACACATAATAGTGGACTACAGGAGGTCCAGGAAAATGTAAGATGCTTCCCTTTGCTTACAGGGGGAGGTGGTGGAGTATGTGGACAGCATAAAGTTTCTGGACTTTGAAATTTCATCTGACCTCTCCTGCACTGACAACACCGTCAGTGCCATCAAAGGCAGCAAGAAATGGGAGTCATGATTGGTAACAAGCTGACCTAAAGATCATGTTACCTCCATTTCATGATCTTGTTGCTTAACAAACATAAGAAAGATCCATCTACACCTAACCCAACATACTACCCAGCCCCGGGTGCAGTCTATGGTTATCTCTCACCTTGAATACCGTAACGCACTCCTGACCGGTCTCCCAGCCTGTATGATAAAACCGTTACAAATGATCAAGAAGGTTACAGTGCTTCTCGTCTTCGATTACCTCAAAAAGTCTCATGTGACCCCTCTGTTCATTGAGCTTCACTGGTTACCCCTGGCTGCCTGCTTTAAATTCAAGCCCCTGATGCTAGCCTACAAAGTGCTTAAGAGTACGGCCCCCGTCTACTTGAACCCTCTTGCAAAGGCTTGTGTCATAACTCGGTCCCTTCGGTCAGCAGTGGATTGTCGTCTAGCAGTGCCTACACCATGCTTAAGACAATTCAGACTGTTTTCATTTGTTGTTTCAACATTTACTTGGCAGAAATATTCTCATGGAGTAAATAGTTCAAACATCCATTTGTATCTCTTAAGCCATTTAAAGGTTTTGGTACATATGTTGTATCATTTTACACCAGCAGTTATTAGGACCAGCTGCAATAGTTGATCTGACCGCAGGCCAGTTATTTTACTAAATGTATATCAAGGTTTATAACGGATGGCATAAGGTTACAAGGGTGGTGTAAAGATGTCAAGAACGGGTGAAATGGTATTGCTTATGGCATACTGAACCTGTACTAAAATGTGATTTTTTTTTTGTGTTTCAATGGTCATGAAAAAATATATAATTGTATGACCTATCTTTATTTTCTATTTTTGAGTTTGTTTTTCCATCTGACCTGATAGGGCTTACCTTCCCATATCCCTCGTCTGAGTTTTTCTTCTTGGTATGTATTCTATGCCATATGAGAGCACTTGCTGTTTGTGTATCTAAGACAAACATTGTGCACCCATGTGTGGATGTGTGTGTTTGCTTCCGTATATGTGCCTGCTCCTTTAGCGTGGGTGTTCCTTTTGGTTCATCGGCACCACACTTCACCCTTGGGAGTTGCAATCGCCAGCCATACCGACTCCAGGAAAGTTTCTCCTCAGTTCCAGAAAAACTTCTGAGCACTGAGTCGATAAAGTAACCTTTAAAGCTGGGCCTCCCTCAGCTGAGATCAACACACCCAACCTAGTGTAAGTCATTACCGTGGACACAGCTTCTTCCAGTTGCTGTGGTGTTATTGGATGCGGACAAACGTGCAATAAGTAGTGTTCATGGTTCACCTATGTTGGGCTAATAAATGATCCCATGTGGAAGTGTAACAAATATAGATGGCTTGCAGAAATGATAGTAACACCCAAGGGTGATGCTATATGATATTATTGAAAGGAGAAGACTGAAACCACACGGTTAAGGCCATTGAAAGGAATACTTGTAAATTGTAAAAGTTTTGTCTTACTGTAAAGATGCTACAAGCCATCAAATGCCAATTACACCTTATCTTCAAGGGTGGGTTTGGCATTTAATTATGGAATCATAGGCAGGAAAGTGACTTCCAGTTCTTAAGTGTTTTTTAGAGACTAGAAAAGACTGTACTTTTCAGGAAATCCTTAGTCTATTGATTTCTTCCTAGTTGCAAAGTAACTTCAGGCTATAAGCTAAGCGTATAATTCTGACTTGATCTGGGAGTTAAGGCAAGGCAAGTTTATTTATAAGGCACAATTCAGTACAAAGAATATTTAAAGGGTTTTACACAAATTAAAGACCAGTGGTAGAGTACGGCTGTATAGCATCTGCATGTGTGGAAATCTTTGTTTAAGCCGGGCATACACTGTACGATATTTTCAATCATTGCACACAGCTACAGCATAACCTGTACAACGAAACAGCAGGAATTAAAAGTTCACAGCTCACAATGTTCTTACACTGTATGGCCCGATGCTCTGATGCGATCTAACTGCTCACTCTGTACATCCAAAAACCACACTTCGGACTCAGTGCCGAGAGATGGTGCTGATCTAACTGATCAATCTGGAAGAAGAACTCCCTTGTTTGCACATGTGCAGGGCTCGAGGTTCTGGTAAATCGACTCGTAGACTTTCATAGCTCTGCTTCAACAGCAGGATATGTCCATGAACATCTCACGAGGGCCGACTGGATTTCAAACATGTTTGATTTTCTTCCGACTTTAAAATTCTCGTTTGGGATGTGGTCTTGATAGGGCTAATAGGCCCTCACAACGCAGGATACATGATGAGGCTGAAATTCAGCCTGATCCAAAAAATTCTTGCACAACTGGAGAATGGGCTCAGGAAAATTGTCAGTCGAGGACCCAAACGTGGAAGGACTGTTTTTAATATGATTAATTTTTGGCCAAAGGGGAGAGTCTAAAAGAGTTTGTGTCCAAGAGAGGAATCAGCTTTAACATTTCCTGCTTGCCTCAGAGTCCTAGAAGTGTACAGTTCCTGAAGAGAAGGAATATCGGCAGAGTGAATGATTCACTGCAGCCTGCCTTTGTCCTTGGTGGTAGAAGCAGTGCATATGTTTTACATGTTGGACAGTATTGAAATGCAACACAACCCGGAGTGAAAAAAGGTAAAAGCAAAAATCTCAAGGTTAAATTATAGAATATTACAAGTGCCACTAGATCACTGTTTAGTTGGTACATCAGCCTTTTTTTATGTAGAAACAAAGATATCTGTGTCACGATTCCTTCTGTATATTTGGAAGCCTGCCAGAGTATGGTATTAGTTCAAACAGCCAGGTCTCTATGAGGTGCCCCCAGGGACATAAATCAGAATTAACTTGCATATACACATATTAAATTACACTCTTCCATATAATATACTGAAAACCTCACACAAACACTAGTAAAAAGCTCTCACATGAACTAGTGAAAACATTGACCTCTTATATAATCTACTCAAAAGCTCTCATACAAAGTAGTGAGAACTGTTCATATAAACTGGTGAAAAGCTTTACCTTTCATACACACTACTAGAAAGCTTTCATATACACTATTA